TTTTTTTTTTTTTAACGAGGATCCGAGCCTCGCTTGCTGTTGTCAGAGCAAAACACTTCTGCCGCTTAAAGTCAGATCTACGTCTTTTGCAATAATACTAAAAAAAAAAAAAGAAGGATAAATAATTGCCTTAAAGCCTCAGCCGAACTGCCAACCACACCTTCGGATGGTGAGTATATTCCAGCTTCTTTCCATTGTACTTGCTTAGCCAGGGAAGCGACCGGAGGGGGAGAGGGGATCTCGGCGCTTTACCTTCACCACAACCTCTTTTCTTTTTTTTCTTTTTTTTTTTTTCTTTTTTCCCCTTCTCCCCCCACCCCAAATAAACGCTGCCAGCTGCACGGAGCGACGCGATCGCGGGCAGTTTAATAGCTATCACTTAAGTTCAGAGCCCCTGTCCTGCCCTCCCACCCTCCGGAGCAGGTCGGTCCGCGCTCCGCCCGAGCGTTCCCGGCGCCGGGCAGGGCAGCGGGCGCTGCTCCCGGGGAAATGACTCGGAGGCGCTTTGCCTCGGACCTGGAAAGCGGCTCCGGTCCTTGGGTTTGTTCGCTTGTTTGTTTGTTTGCTGCTTTTGCTTTATTTAGCTTAAAGGACGTGCTAAACTGATGGTGCTGCAATTACACATACTTGGGTCTGCCCCCCTCCCCTCTTCCCCTCCTTAGAGCAACCCACGTAACCTTAGAAACGATCGTTTAAGACGCACGTTAGCTAACATTTGCTTTTTTGGATTTTTTGTTTTCCTTAAAAGAGAAACACAAGAATCACAACACATTGCCCGAAAAAAGTGTCAAAGAAGAAGAAAAAAAACTATAAGTAAACATACCAAAACCATATTTGCCTTGTTCAAGGTCCCAAATCGCTTGCATCTTCCTTTTTCTACCTCTCCTTTAGTTTGGCAGGTGAAACAAACAAATAAAAAAAAAATTCAGACCGCTGTTTGCCCCCCAGAAAGATGTGCGTTGGGTAATTAAAGAGAAGTCTCCTTCTTGGTGTTTATCTAAGCGATTGTGCAAACTGATTAAAAAAAAAAAAAAAGAGAGAGAGAGAAAAAAAAAAAGTAAAGTTACAGCCTTCAGGGGGGGAAAAAAAGGAAGCAAGGTGAAGGGAATAGATTTCCCACAACCTAAAGGGAAGTGCTTTCGATGTATTATTAGCGATCAGCCTTGGGAGAGAGAGGAAAAAAAAAACACCCTGAACACACTCTAACTTTACACAGACAAGATTTCAGGGGGGGCTTTGTACACAGCTGCTTAGGAATGTGCGCCTTGCCTTTAAGAAAAAATCCCCAAGCCCAAGGTAGGAGATGTCTTTGAGTGATCCTTGTCTCATTTCATTCCTTAGAAGGAAGAGCGTCTCGCTACACCTTGTTTGGAGCTGGAAAGGCGAGACTTAAAAAAATAAAAAAAAATTAGGAAAAAAAATAAGGGGAAAAATATTCACAACCCACCCTTCCAATTGGGGAGAAAAAAAAAAAATAAGAGAGGGAAATCTCCTAAGTTAATGACTGTGGGGGTAGGATGGATGCGACGGATTTCAGCCCCCCCC